AGAGGATACACGACAACTCCAGGCACACACAACTACCTGATCTTTGACAATGGGACCAAAAGCTTTCACTGGAGGAAAGGTGGCCTCTTCAAAAAGTGATGCTGGGAAAACTAGCTATCCACATGCAGAAGATTGAAGTGAAACTTATATCTGTCACTGTGTAGTAAACTGAAATAAAAAATGTATCAAAGATCTAACTATGGCAACAGAAACACATTATCTATTGGAAGATAAAATAGGCAAAACTCCTTAAGACATAGGTGTAGGCGAGGATGTTGGGAACAGAATCCTAGTTGCACATAAAATAATACCAAGAATCAACAAATGAGATTACATCAAAATAAATAGCTCCTGCACAGCAAAGCAAATAACTAACAGAGTGAAGAAACAACCGACAGAATTGGAAAAAATTTGCCAGCTATTCCCTGGACAAAGGACTGATAGATAGATAGATAGATAGATAGATAGAGATAGATTAATGTAGGCGAGGATGTTGGGAACAGAATCCTAGTTGCACATAAAATAATACCAAGAATCAACAAATGAGATTACATCAAAATAAATAGCTCCTGCACAGCAAAGCAAATAACTAACAGAGTGAAGAAACACGCGACAGAATTGGAAAAAATTTGCCAGCTATTCCCTGGACAAAGGACTGATAGATAGATAGATAGATAGATAGATAGATAGATAGATTAGTTTATATGGTTATATGCATATATATATATATATACACACACATATTTATATGGTTATATGTGTATATACATATATATATGGTTTTATATATATATATATGGTTATATGTACCAAAGCTGTTTAAGAGATAGAAGGAGGAATAAGGAGGAGAAGGGAATGAATATACAAATTATTACCATATATTATATATATTATGTACACGACCAAATGTCCATGATGAATACTATCATTATGTACTACAAACATGTATATACCAACAATGACCAAAAAAATGAAAGTGACAATAAAGAAAGTGCGTTTGAAGCAAGTGGGAGCATTTGAAGTGTCTCAATCACTGCCTCATCCCTGAAGCACAAGTCTCAACAGCAGTAACTCAAACAAGGAGCTATTTCTTTTGGCTCGCTTTCAGAAGTTTCAGTCTACAGGTGGGCAGGTTCTCACACAGAAGGCATGGTGAACGGGCCTGGCAGGAGCAAAGCCGCTCACATCATGGCGGGCAGGAAGCAGAACACGCAGGGAGAGCCAGGGAGGTAGGAATACTCTTCTAATTCCCACCGCAGCGACCACCCTGTCAGGAGGAGGCCCCGCCTCTCAACAGCACATTGCGCAGCTAAACTCACAGAGGATGAATTCACCCCCACCACCCATTCACCTTCCAAAAGCCCCACATTCTATTTCCAAATCATAACAATGGTGCTGTGTCTTTTACTGTAATAAATTTTTAAAATTTAACTATTACCATATTTTTATCACACCATGTATAAGCATAGACTTTTTAAATTTTTATTTTTATGAGTACATATTTGCGGTACATAATGATTACATGCCTCATAACGACTCAGTACATATACATAACACATCGCAATTCTTCTTTCAACTCTTCCTCCTTTATTCCTTCCCTCTATCTCTTTACCCTTCCCATTTGCAAAAGATCTATTTTCCTATTAGCTACTATCTGAAGGATATTTGAGGTCTTTTTTTTTTCAGCTTTAATTGAGTTTATTAGTACATTTTAGGGATACAGTCCAGTTACATTCATCATTGGGATCCTGTACCTCTACATGACAGGTCTTGGTTCTCATTTTTTCCCCTTGTCCCTGCCCTCCCTTCACCCCTCCTCCCCTCCCCATCTACAAACACTTTATTTTCATCTTTTCATTATCTCACATTTTTTTCTTTTCCCTTATTGTCTCTAGGGAATAAGGGAAATGGAAGGCAGGGAAATGGTTAGAATGAGCAGACTATAGGAGACTCATATTTTCATTTAATATTATTTTGTAATAAAAGTAACTGAAATCATTTTGACAAAAGTTATTTTAATTTTGCTTATTGGAACAGTAATAATACTGTAGAAGATATATATGACATATTAAAACATGGCAAACTTGCATATGAAATGTAATTTTAGAAATATTTTAAAATATCTACAGGGGAGAAAATTTTTATTAAAAAAAGAAAAGATACCAGACATTGGCAATTATTTTGTATAGATGGGATTATAAGCATGTTTTAACTTTTTTGTATGTTCTAAATAGTTTTAATAATAATGTGGTACTTTTATAATGGAAAATTGTCTAAGGCATGATTTCAAACTTTGAAAGAAATGGATGCCATTTTCAAATTAATTCTTATACAGAATACCAATTATAATGAAGACAGGCAAATATTTCCTGAATGAATTTTGAATGTTTAAAATGAAAAATACATGACAACACCAAGTCCAGCAAAATGTAAAAGCATCTTTAATCTCATAATATCAAAACCACAGAAAATGGTTTTAAATTGCTACTACTCATCACTAAATATTTTTATATTCAGTACTTTAAACATTTCTATACTCAGTATTTTTTAAAACAACTTCTCTAATTTCTTAGTTCCATTCTTCACTGGATAAAGAACCAGATCGTAGGAAATTTTTGAAAGCTGGAAATGTTGATATTTAACATGAAAATAAATAAAAATGTTGTCCTAGCTCAAGCTGAACAAGTATCATTCAACAAGTCTAAAATTTTGTGTATATTTCTTTCCTATCAGGAGAAATGAAGAAAAATTACATGACTTTAAAATCTTGGCGGGAACCCAGACTTCTGGAATCTGGAACAAAAGGACAAAGGAGTGTTTGTCTTTTTTTTTAATGTAATGCTGACTCCCACCCACATGGCTCTCCATACAGAATGAAAGCCATGTTGTAACAGATTCTGTTTCTCATTTGTGACTAAATGAAACATCAGAACACTTGCTGTATGATATATCGTTTAAAGGAAGGTTAGCCAACTTTCTTCTTGGAAGAAGAAATGAAATCATCCAAAAAAAGCACTTTGGGAACCATGATGAAAATGAGGAAATAAGCCCTTCCTCTTGTGAATAAAGAATCAATGTTACTATGGTTAATAGTAAATAAACTTTAAATAGAAAATGTTTAGTGGGAAGCTCAATATCTGAACATAAAGGAAAGATGAGTTAAATAAAATTCTCTGAATATCCAAAGTAGAAGTTCATGTGACTGAAAGACTAAGTTCTATTAAGAAAAAAAATAGTCATTTCACATCCATAAACTGTTTTTTGATGACTATATTTTACATGTGAACAATCATTATACAGTAAAGGTGGAAAGGCAGTTGGGCTCTACATAAAGTAACATTAGGCAATTAAAGAAATGTAGAGTTGTAAGGAACTGAGAAGTAAAGATATAGATCAGTTTCCTTGCTTGAGAAATTGTAAAACCTATGTTGTTAAGCAGAAGTCAGCTCAAGGTTCACTGTCAGCATGTCCTCACCTCAAGGAGAGAAATCTTCATGTGCACATCCTTAAGACAGATGAGGAAATGTCTCCTTCTTTTCACCTTGTACAGCCAATGTAAGATATGAATTTTCAGTGGAAAATGTGAGTGTGACTCTATTTCTTGTGGGGTTTTAAGAGAGAGAGAGAGACAGAGAGAGAGACAGAGAGAGAGGACTATTCCTCGGGAGCACATTCAAAGCCTTTTCTGCAACAGCATAGCCTTCACAGAGGTCAACTTCAAATTAACTTTTCTGCATACATTTTGCAAAGCTTCCAGAGAGTGGCATTTTTCCTTTACAAGAGAACCTGAGGTTTTCTGGAACTAGCAAGTGGCTGGCAATCTGAAAACCTAAGTTTCAACTCAGCTCACCTTAGAAGCTTCGAGAAAGACACAGCTTCACTTGGCTTCTGTTGCTTCATCTGTGAAACCACCAAGTGCCATCACATCCCACAATTCCCACTCGACATCATTATGTAACTACTTAGGCCAACTATTCACATTCAAGTGAATAATTAGACTCTTTAGGGTCTGTCTCTACTCTCAATATCATTTACTTAAGAATTTTATCTTACTCAACATAATGCCCTTTGATGAAACTACAAAATATTTATTTCTTTCATAACAAAGAATTCTAATGAGCAGATATCCTTTGCTGGAAAAGTAGCCTGCATATGGCTAGTACTTAATATCTATTTTTGAATGTATTGAAAAGTACAGTTCATACATTTTTCTCATCAGCTTTTACTTCACCATTATTAAAAACATAAACTATTTTCTATGCATATAAATTTTAACTGAGTAGAAATCACTAATTTTAAGCATATTCATGAAACATTTCTCACATCATTTATGTCACCTCATTATATCTTTATAGCATGCAATCTCTCAGATGTAACAATGTGATTATTACTCTTCATAGTACTAGCATTCTTATCACAAGACTTAAGTAAATTAGAACCTAAAAGGCAGGTCAAAATTCTCAGTTGAAAACAAAATATATTTTGTGTGAGTTTTATTGATGGATGTTGTAGTAGAATAAAAGAATAAAGGATTCAATGGCCAGGTGTATGCACCAGAGCTGATCAACAGTGTGGCGTGTATGTGTTTAAATTTTTAAAAATTATTTCAGTAAAACACGGTGCTCCTAACCCCCTCAGAATACTCCCAATCCTCACACAACATTTGTCCCATCCATGTTCACACTTTCTGAAGCAGTTCTGGAAGCTCTCCTACACGAGCGTCTTTAATTGTATTGTCCCGGCTGCCTTGATGTCTTGAATCCATTGAAAATATTTATGACAACTTCCGTCCAATAAAAATATTTATTATGGTGTATCCTCATCTACCTAATTCACCAGATCTGGCACCGTGCAATTTTTGCTTCTCTCCCCAAGTCAAATGACCGTGAAAGGCAGACATTTTGAATCATTTGAGGACATTCAGGTAGCCATGGCAGCACGAATAAAGACAGGGAGCCTTTCGGAATTCAGGAAGTGAAAGAATACGGGATAAGTGCATCCACAGGGAGGGTGAATAGTTTGAGGAGATTAATGGCAATGTAGCCTTTTACTGCAATCAAAGTTTTTAAATTTAAATAGTCATCATATTTTGTGATCACGCCTCATGATCAAGCTGTAATTCTGGGTGAGTGATTTTAACTTTGGCTTTCCCGTCTATAAAGTGGTTATCGTGCCACCTACATGTCTTTCAGTTTGGTGTGTGGTTAGTGGGGAAGATACAACCCCCACCGACAGTTCAACTATCAAGATAATGGCAAAGGAAGCTGGATTCAATTGTTCCAACTTGTTTGATGGCTCTGAGAAATGGCCAGGAGTCGTTTCTGATGGCTGAAATTCATTCTGTTATGGTGGTTGGGGTGGTTGGGGTTTGAGTGGTTGAGTTTGCAGGGTGTAAAGAGACCTAGAAGTTCATTGATATTTATCTGACCAAAATCTGCTGAGGTGAACGCGAGTGTAGAGCTTCTTTGTGGAGTTATAAAAGGGAGAGAATTTGCAGCAGTGAACAGTTGGGCTGTGTCTATTGTGGATCTTTCATCTGTTTACAGAAACGTATGCCTAAAGTGAGTTCACCCTCTTCAACTGCCAGGATTAATGCCCCTGTGGAGCAGGTCTGAGCTGTTTTTAGGGGCATGGCATAGACAGCTGTTGAGAAATGTAGCCTGGTGTGCATAGGATTACCCGCATAGGTAATTAGAGCTGATGGTCCACTTTCCAGAATGATCCAAAATTACAGAGGAGGCTCATGTGGGGTCTAGGCTTGCCTGGCTCTGTCGTCATTGCTTCCTGTGTCTCTGGCAAAGGGCCTGAGAACTTGTCTGCTACAAGGAGTTCAAGGAAGAGACAGACTCACTTTAGTAACTGGCTGAATTTTGATCTTGTGTATTTCCCAATTGCACTTGGGGAAAGCAAATAAATCGTTACTTTTTTCATTATTTGACTATGAAAATAGTACTTTCAGCTCTGCAGATGAACAAAGCATGCATCCAAACGGAGCTCTTTACCATATGCTCAGGTCTGTGTGTACTCTATAACCATGAATTTATTTACGATCCCCTGGTCTGGCTTCTTTTAACTTACAGGACATTTACGTTAATGTTCCTGAGGAATAATCTGTTAAAATACCTAAAATATTTTAAGCCCCTTGTCCTAATCTTCATTGCACCATCTCTTGGCAAAACTGACTTAGGTTTTTCAACCTTGCATATATAAGAACTCAATTGTGAATTCTGGAAAATTCAGAGTGCTTACTTGTTTTTTTTTCTTTTTGAGTAGTTAAAATATTCAAGAATAAGTAGATGCTCCACAATCCTATGTAAAAAGTAATGAAAAACTGCTCTTGTTCTCTCCACAATCACACGTGTGTTGCTTAATACAAATCCAACTGGATAAGGGAGAGTCATTTGACTTTCGAATCTTTTTTTAATAAAGCATATAGGGATTATTGCCATTAATAAAAATTCCAACCCCTTAAAAGGACAGTAAATATGGACAAAGGCATCAAACAAGTGGGAGGAAATAGGACCACTTCACGTTCCCAAGTTCAAAAGAACATTTACAGAGTAGAATCACGTAGAGTTAGCACAAGGGACTTCAGAAACCACCTACCCCATCTCCTAGTTTTATGTAAGAGGACACTGGAGTAGGCACATCAGAAATCCCTGTTTGCAGCTGATACAGAACCAAGACAGAGTTCCTGTCCTTTTTCATTAAACCACACCTCCAATGCTTAAATCCAGACTCAGTCAGTATGGTGTTCTAAAAGAACATCTATAATCTGTTCCATCTTTTGGTCAGTAGCATCCAATCCAGGCCTCTATTTCACAGTGTAGAAAGAAAAAAGATAATACCCTTTACTGCAGTGAGAATAAAGGTAAAGTATAGGATATCTCACAAAGTCAGGTATCATGGGGTAGACTCATTTTTCAATAGTATGCCAGTTGTGTTTTCAAGCAACAGAATTAATATTTCTTCAACTTCCAGGCCCCTTAAAAGACATATTGCCTATATTGTCTTCTCTACACTTTCGAAACTTCTGGAGAGTCAATAACGTTTTATAGAAATGGTGGGGAGTTTTGTTCTCTGGGTTAGAGATTAACCCCTTTATTTTAAATCCTGAACAAATTGACTTCATGTGAAAGCATATTGAGTGTACTATTTGAAGAAAGTTTATCCTATTTCCTAACTTTACAGATACATAATAGCATGGGACTGGAAAACAATGAAGAAGAAATGATTCATCAAGAATATAGTTGACTATACTGTTATGCACTGAGACAAATGCCTAAGCCCTTTTGAAAGATGTTTAATGTATAAATCTATGTCTGATAATTCCGAATTATGTAACTCTTAGAAACTACCAAGTTTTCTTTTTGGAATTAGCTCACATCAGAGTACAAGCTCCCCAAGGGCAGGGGTTTATGATGTATTTGTTTACTGGTACTGCCAGCCCTTGGAAATGAGTCTGGCACAGAGAAAGCATTGAAGACAGATTTTTCAGTGAATGCTGCCCTACACAGACATGGGGCTAACTAGATCTGGCTAGCCAAGTGATCAGTAACTCATCTCAACTGTTACTGGTTGAGCAAATTCCCTGGTACCTCTTGCTCAACAAAGAATTGCATAATGAAACTCTCCCTAACCATTTAAGCTATCTTGGAATCGCATCAAAGCTGTCAGCTTAACAAAGACGCCCCTGTGGATTGTCTTGAGAAATCAACTTCCCCTGTGCATCTAAAGAAATGCAACCCATTCTCAGGGAGCCACAATTCCTGCTTTCACGACATTATTGACACGATTACAACATGGTAAGTTTTCTTTCCTTTTAGATAGATCTTGCCTTGAGCAATTTTTTTAAAAAAGGCTATGGGGTGCCATATACATATATCATAATTATGTAAAGTATGTTAGCTCAGCTCTTTTTAAGTACCTCATTGTCAATCTATGCTCCTATAGGAAACTTAATTCTAAGAGACAATCTCTTCTGCTTTGGGGCTGGAAGTAAGATATTAAGAGACCCCAGTGATTCACAGAGAAAGCGAGGAAAGTGGAAAATATTGAAAATTAAAATGAGACAGACCAGCTGAGCTGTGGGTTTCTATGGCACCAATAACCACTGCTCTGCAATTAGAGGCAGAAACTCCACCTATCTGTCATAAGTCTTTGAAAAGCCCCGTTTGGAGGAAAATGAGGCGAACATTAGAAAAGAAGGTCGAAAGAAGATCTGTGTTCATTTTGAAACAAAGTCATGTATAAAGAAAGCAGAAGAACTACTGCCAGAGGCATGGGCAGAAAACCCAGCAACTTAACTTTGAAAGGTTTACCAAACAAAGGGAATTTTATACCAAATTAATCTCTTTGAGGTGTGGACTACAATTACTTAATGTAGCAATATCTCCTTCTCATGGCATGGTCTTGGAATCAGATAACTCTTCTCTCCTCTAAATTTCTTTACTGACTAGCTACAGGACACTGGGAAAATAACGACTCTCTCCAGGGCTCAGTTCTGCACCTCCAAAATGTGGAAACTGGTCCCTTTTCTCCTGCCTGTGAAAACTTTTGCGATAGCCTGGCACACACAACAATGTCAATAAAAGGTAACTGGTATTCTTCATCCTTTGAATGGGAGGTGTGAGTTGTTTTTCACCTCTTTTTATGTCTTCTCTTGGTATTTTAGTCAAATTATTTTGGAAACTAATGGCTTCTAGCCAACAGTATTATCAAAGAGTACGAAAACACAATATTGTCATTGCATGAACTTGATTATTCATTTCCTTCAATACAAATGTAAGAGGCCAGGGATGTAGCTCAGTGGTTCCGCCACCTGCCTGGCAAGTGCAAGGACCCGAGTTCGATTCCCAGTACCAAAAAAATACAAATGTAAGAAATTGTGTAGGCAGACAGGGGACAGAACACACCTGGGATCTCAGCCTCTCTCAAATCCCAAATTCCAGTAGAGGTTAGACAAGAAAAGTGACAAACTCAATACTAATGGTGGAAGGGAAATTGAGGAAATGTTCTCATACAACTCCATTTCCCCTAAAAGAGCTCTGATTTTAGAGTTGGGTTGATGGAAATGGTAAAACATTTTAATGATATCATGTGTTAAAATATTTATTTATTATCTGAAAAATGAATCAAATGAAAATAAATAATTATAGGAAGGTCTTTTTTTTCATTAACAAAGACATTTTACATATACTGAGAGTCATTTTGCTTCCTAGAAAGAAAAGGAAATTCTTTGATTATTCTACATTAAAATCACATTTTCTTCCATTTTAAAGTTATTACTAGAACTCGTGTCCTTTCAGGTCAGAAATTTCCATTGTCTTTCAGACTTTGAAGAAAGTTTAAGTCAACAGAAACAGTTTCACCATCTAGGATGTTAACTTTATAATCCTTCTAAAATTAGGGGAACCAAGGGCCGGGGTTTTAGCTCAGCAGTTCGGTGGCCTGCCTCGCAAGCGCAAAGACCCGAGTTCATCCCCGGTACCAAAAATAAAATAAAATTAGGGGAATCAATACGTTTCTTCTTCTTTTTTTTTTGGTACCGAGGATTGAACTCAGGTCCTTGCGCTTGCAAGGCAGGCCACTGAACCACTGAGCTAAATCCCCGGACCAATATGTTTCTTCTTGTATTCAGCTCTTCTGTCTTTTACATCCTAAACCCACTATGTTGGGGCCCAAAAGTGTAGGTCTCCGCTCGGACCCCTTCCTGTGTCTTCTGGCCTGGCTGCAAACCACAGTGATGCATCTGTAGAAACCAGTCCGAAGAAGGACCGAGTAGGCCTTCACAAGTGCCAGTGCTTTCAGACTCGATCAGAGGTGGGGCCAAATACAGCGAAGTGTTCACAGAAATGGGGATCTGGCTCAGGCAGGAAGAAGTGACTCTGGAGGGAGTGAGAACTGAGCCAGACCTCATCTCAGAAAATAAACCTTGGCCTTGGCCTTCCCAGGCCTGAAAACCGATGAGCCAGCCTTCCTGGCAGACTTCTGTATCAGGCTCCTGTCCAGAGCCTCGCCTGTCTCGTGGAGTTACATATCTAATGTGTCAGCCAGAATGGTACATGGTATCATTGCTCCTCGTGTTAACTTTCTTTGCCTCAAGATGTTTCTTTATCCCAGCCCATTTTCAGGTGACTTGTTACCTCTCTACAGGTAGAACAGTCTTCCCTGCCACATGGTCAGGCTTGGCACTGTGACTTGCCTGGGCCGATGAAGCATAAACAGAGATGGCCAAAGGCTAGTTTCAAGCAAACACTTAGAAGAAGCATCACATTTTTCAGCCAGTCCTACTTTTCTCTCTGCCGTAAAATGGGATGCAACAACTACACAAACACCATTGTGTACTGAAAATCTAATATGCATACTTGTTGGTGTGAGTCCTTGTGCTTTGGGAACTATGTGTTGCTACTAAATATATGTGATATCCAAAGTGGTAAGACAACTGCTTTAAGGTAAGCATCCCATCTCTAAGGGCATCCCATTCTATTAGGGGCTTGAATTTTTGTTCTTATTTTTCCCCCCTTCCCCTGCCCTTCCTTCAACCCCTCCACCCATCCCTATTTATAACAACTCTGGTTTAATTTTTCCTTTTCTCATATTTACTCCTTTTTCTTCTTTCCTGTCCCCTTACTCTCCCACTTCCTCTTCCTCTTTGGATCTTTTCTTCCTGTTTCACACTATCTACTATACATTTTAATCCTTATTTACACTTCCAGTTTTTTACATGAGAGAAACTATTCAGTATTCACACGTGTGTTCTATTTATTTCACTTACGAGTAGGGCAGGGACAAAGGGAAAAAATGAGAACCAAGACCTGTCATGTAAAGGTACAAGATCCCAATGATGAATGTAACTGTACTGTAAACCTAAAATGTACCAATAAACTAAGAAAAAAAAAAAGAGTATGGCCTCAATGTGCATCTATTTAGCTATAAATGTCTATAATTGCTCATTATTTAAAAAAACACATCTTCTTATTGGGCTGTTTCCAAGTTTTAGCTATTACAAACTGTGCTGCTCTAAACATGTGTGTGCATATATTGCTGTGGTATGATTCTTTTCATTCTTTTGGGAAGGTACCCCGCAGGGGAATAGCTGGGTCAAATGGGACCTTTAATCCTAGTTTTCCGAGGTATTTCCATACTGATTTCCACAGTAGTTGAACCAGTTTACACTTCCACCAACAGTGGAGAAGAGTTCCCTTTTCCCCACAGTCCTGCCAGCATTTGTTATTGGTTTATTTTCTTGATAGCAGCCATTCTTTCTGGAGTGAAGTGTTATCTCAGTGTTTTTTTCATTTGTATCTCTCAAATGACCAACGATGTTCAACATTTTTTCATATGTTTATTTGCTGTTTCTGCTTCTTTGACTGAGAAATGTCTGTTCATTTCAGAGTCCATTTTTGGATTGGGTCTTTTTATATATATATATATATATATATATATTCTAGATAGTAGACCTTTGTCTGATGAACAGCTGGCAAAAAGAAAATTTTCCACATTGTGGGTTGTCTCTTCACACTGTTGGCGGTTTCTCTGGCTGGGTAGAAGCTTTTTAATAAAATGAGATTCCCAGTTGTGGATTTTTTGTGCTAGTTCAAGTGTGACTGAGGTTTTGTTCATGAAATCTTTTCCTGCACCATGGTCTTCAAGAGTTCTTCCAAAGATGAGCTAAAGGATTTTTTTTTTTTTTTTGGTTTTTTTGAGACAGGGTCTCACTATGTAGTTGAAATTGACCTGGAACTCACTATGTAGCCCAGGCTGGTCTCCAACTCACAGTGATTCTCCTGCCTCAGCCTCCTGAGTGCTGGGATTACAGGCATGCACCACCAAGCCCCGCAGAGCTAAAGAAATTTTAATGAGATTAATTCAAGCCTTGTGTCATCTGCAATGAGAAGGTACTTGGGATTTTAAAAAAAAAGTTTCTGTCCTAGAAAACCTGAGTTGCTATAAGGTTAAACCATAGATAGCCTGGAGGTCACCTGTTCCTCAGTTCTCGGAGTGGCCAGGAAATAGATCAGATCTGAAAGTGTGGGGAATGATGTGGGTTTGTATTTGCCCTGCTCAAATCATTCATTAGAATAAATAGGAAGTTCATTTGTCCTCCATTCCTGGAGTCTAGGGAATAAATGCACACACTCTGGACTACAAAAGTCACTAAACAGAGTGCTCCCTTTGACTCCTAGTTCTGCAACTGCCTTTATGGCCCCACCTTTGCCATTGTTTATTCATGGGCTCTTTGACAACTCTCCTGCTAAGCCAATAGCCTTGGGGTGCAATTACCAATACTTTAAAACTCAAAGTTAGCGTGGTTTTCAAATAATTAAAAGCCTTTTAAAAATACCTAGAGAAGCCAAGAACAACCAAGGTCCTAACAACCTGGACAGATCCATGGGAGCTCAACAGAACCTGATAAAATCAGTCTTGCCAGGACCAACAAAAAGGAAGGAGAATGGAGATTCGGAAAATGAGTTGAACCATGGGAAAGCATGGCTGCGTGGAGGGGATTTATTCCTAGAATGCTCCAACTAATCCAGAAAGGACAGATCCTGCTGGGAGGCAATCCTCAAGCATAGCTGTGGGAACAAAACCCCATTCTTTGGCAAGTTTAGCATTGTCCGCTTAAGGACAGCCAACAATATGCTGAGTGGTGTAATCAGACACAGAGTGAGTTGTTCCTCAAAAGATTCATAGCAAAGATGATTTACTCTCTTGCTAAACCAGCTTGAGGGGATAATTCACCTTCTGGGTCTTAGAGTCTGGGAATGGATGAGCAGAAGAAACTCCTGGGTTACTAAAGCCCAGGGGAGCGCAAGAAAGTTTATACAAGAAAGGAAACCTGATTGCTGACCACCCACAAGCTGGACATCGTGGCTCTTGGAAGGCCAGTCCCCTTCTTTTACAGATGGAAGTAGCCACGAGAAGCAATATGACCTCCCCAAGGCCACATAGCCAGCAAGAATGTGGCAGAGGCAGGGCTGGGGGGCTGAATTTATTGAGAGTTTTTTCTTAGTCTCTATGCCGACCTATTATGAAATAAGTATAAGAACCCAAACAGTCAATTTTCAACTCACAGGTATAGAAAGTGTGATCACACCAGGAAGGGCTCATGAACCTGAAACACTGTTGACACTGACAATCCATTGGCCCTCTTTGCCAGAAAAGATAACAGTATGAGATAGGGTTGCATAGCTACCATCAGCACCTAAGATATCGACCACATACTATCAAAAAATTCAACCATGTAGTGTAAAAACTATTGAAACTTTATATTTGAGAATTCTACAAGCCAATTGTCATCGTCGGTGAAGAGGATCCTCCCTAATGAGAATTTCATAAAGAAAACGTACCATGTGCGCCCCCCCCAAGTGGGGCGGGGGAGAGGGAAGGCATGGGAATGAACAGAATGACCAAGAGAGAAAGAAAGATGGGGGAAATACTTAACCAAACACTGACAAAAAATGAGAACAATGAATTTGACCAGGGTGAATACAGATAAAGTAAGTCCGCACATACGAAGGGGGTAAAGGACTCATCCAAAAGCTCACAGGCTGAAAGTCACTTGAAAA